CCTCTCCATCTTGGGTGGGCCAGATCTCTGGATGAAGCTTTCCTTTTCAAAGGATGCCCTACCTTTGGGATAAGGTGGCCACCCAGTTAATTGGCTCATTAACCGATCGCATTGAAATACTCCTGTACATGGCAGAAAGCTCAGCACAATGCAAAGTCGGAGAAAGTGTGAAGTAACTTGCAATTTAATCATGAAAAGCTATTGCGGGAAGAAGAAAAGGCCATCTTTAATTGAGTTTCATGCCCCATTTACAGTAACGAACCAAAACCATTATTGCCTTCAAAATCAGCATGGGCCTTGTAATATCCAAACTACCACCAAACCTACCGAAAACCTTTAAAAAAAAAGTTGGTTAATCTATTCTTTGAAGGGGAAGAAGCCACAAAACAGGAAGACGCACGAAGACCCATCAGATCTCACCAAAGCAGTACTCCAGAAGTGGCAGCCTTAATCCCACATTGCCAGATGCCAAAAAGAGATGAGCGTTATTGCTGTCATTTTGCATTCTGTGTCTGTGTGGGGTGTATATGTGTGTGTTGTGTAATGAGCCAAATGGTGGGAAGGAGAGAGGAAACCTACAATGGGATGGCTGGGAGAGATATCCTGACCATATTCTCAGCCATTCCATGCTGAACCAAGCAGAACAATTTGCAAAAGCGACAGCTCTGTGTGGGCTCTTCTGGAAATAACTTTCCTAAGGAGCAATCTCTGCTTGCCTGGTTTTGAACAATCGAGGGCAACGCTGCAGGGCAAGGTGTGGCACACCTCCTCCATCTGAGTGTGTGGGGTGTGGGTACAAAAGCGGGGGTCACTTGACCTGAAATTTTATACTTGGGTCCCAAAAGGGAGACCCAACCTTCTGTCTCTCCCTGTTGCTGACCTGTCTTTTTATTTCGGACTTCCCTCCAAAGGAGCACATAAAAATCAAGCATGCACACCCACCCATTTCAAAATCCCCAGTGTTGTCAACACAACAACAACCCATTAAAGAAAGACGTCTTCTGCTCGGACCCAACCAGAGCTCCAAGAAAACCATGTTTCTATTGTTGCTGTTGTGTTCCTTCAAGTCCTTTCTGACTTATGGCAAACCTAAGGTGAACCTATCAGGGGGTTTCTTGGCAAAATTGGTTCAAAGGTTTGCTGTTGCCTTCTCCTGAGGTTGAGAGAGTGTGACTTGCCCAAGGTCACCCAGTGGGTTTCATGGCCATCTGGGGAATCAAACCCTGGTCTCTAGAGTCATAATCCAATGCTCAAACCACTACACCATGCTGGCTCTCCATGTTTCAATAGCTGGTAGTATTTGGAGACACAATCTACAATTGGGAAGTTTTACCATTCATTTCCATGGGAGTGGGGAGTTGCAATGGACAGCATCCTTGCGCATCTCTCATTCATTTCAACAGGGCTTGTACCACTGGATTCCCATGGATTGGGCCCCCATATCAAACAAAGACTAGAGAGGAGATGCTCACCAGCCACTTGATCAAGCCTGTTTAGCCCAGGTTCTTCTCTCTTTAAAATAGTTATATCCATATGTATAGAAACTTCAATTTTATAATCTCTTTCTGAAAGCCAGCGGTCTACTTGAAAAGAGTACTGTTAGGTGCTTTCTCCCCACTATTTATATACAGAAACATTCTGTATGTTCAAAATACGAATTAAGAGAGATAGCCTTCTCTCTCCTTCCTGGATTCTTTCTGTATCTGCACCTCTTATGGTTTAAAAGATCAGACATCTGCATTCATCAAAAAGTGACCGAAGGGGGTGTAACTTCAGGAATATGGGATTACCATCCCATCCTTAAGAAGGGATTAACATCCAGAATCCACAAAACAGTGATACCTTTATTGGACCAACCAAAATGCCTAAAATCCCTGTTGCACACTTCCAAAGCTTCCAAAGCTTGCAACATGGATTTAATGCATTTGAGCTGGACCCATCAAGGTATGATTTGGCTTTTGGATGTTATTGTACTATATTGTACTATATGGCCAACACGTCTGCCCCTGCCTGGATAGGTTTCAAAGGGATTGTTAAGGTAAGGGAAAGAAAGGGTCGAGAAGAAAAGGTAAGGCGAAACACACACGCGCACACACTTGCACACAGCATGATTTAAGCAAATAGACCTATTAAGCTCTAATATATATTTCTGTTGCTAGGGAGCGTTTTCTCGCATGGCTACAGTAGCACAAATTGTAGCACTTATGAATCAGAGGATGTTTTTTTCCCCCTTCCATCATACATGAAAGAGATTTTCCTGACAAACAACCACCATGGCTCTCCTTTCCCCTTCCCTCCCACCCAAAAAAACCCCCCAACTCTTCCAAGCCTGCTGTTTCCAACCCCCCCAAAAAAACTGATGTAATCCAAAATCCCAGTTTCTATTTAAATTATTGCAATTTAGCCCCTGCTGCCTCCCCCTTCCCCTCCTCTTGCTTTCCCCAGCCCCCTTAAAAATGTATAAGGAGCACTTGGGTTTCAGAAGTTATTGGGGGTTTTAGCCACAATTGTTAACAGATGGGAAGTCAGCTCTGGACTCCAGGAGAGAGAGAGAGAGACTTTGAGAAAGAGAAGTGTGTGTTCTCTTATCCCATCTTGAAAACACCTCTAAGCATCTCAAGGGGGGGAAAAAACAACCAGCAGGCATGGGAATGGCACTTAAAGCAAAATGAGAACCCAACAACAACAACAATTCTTACAGTTTGACCTATTAAAGCTCTGATCTGGAAACAAAAATGGTGTGTGTGCGAGCATACATTTTAATGAGAAGCACAGACAAGAAGTTTCTTTCTTCTTCTAAGGTACTTTTCATTCATTCATTTCTTTTTTTTTTTTTCCTGCAAGAAAACTTCCAAAGGGGATAGTGCACCTTTTGGAAAAGAAAATATGATCCATGCATGCAAAATGAAAGAAAGAGAGAAAATAGGATCCATGCACATGAAAGAAAGAAAGAAAGAAAGAGAAAGAATGAAAGAAAGAAAGAAAGAAAGAAAGGGGAAGGAGGAAGGCGTTGTTGTCTAGAACTACACAAAGACACCCACAAACCCTAGATAAGTGCAGAACACAAAATCCAGACAGACCCACCCAAGTCACAAATGTGGGAGCTAAAGTCACCAGCCTTGGACACACCTTGCCTTTTCCGCCAGCACTGAAATCAAATAGGTGTCTGTTTTTGGGTGAGTCCACAGAGTTCCCTAGCTATTGCTCTAATAAATCCCACTTCATTTCTGGACTCATTGGCCCTGCTTTTTTAAACGATCCTCAAAGATCTGCACACCGAGGATTGCCGAAACATTCCAGATTTCATTTCCACCAGCCCGAAACCAACTTTTATGTGATATCAGACTGTGAAAGAGTCCCTCTCTGACACACACACACTTGACAACTAAGTTTGGGATGCTGTCAAAGTTGTATTAAATATACACACTCTTGCATCTGCACTGCAGAAATAATTCAGTTTGACACTGCTTTAACTGTTATGGCTCCATGCTATGGAATTCTGGGACTTGTAGTTTGTTGTGGCACCTCTGGTGCCACAACAAACTACAAGTCCCAGAATTCCATAGCATGGTGCCATGACAGTTAAAGTGGTGTCAAACCAGATTATTTCTGCAGTGCGG